GTGTCAAATATTTTTAAGCCACTGTTTATGTAACTCTTAAAGTAATTGGCTCCATCTAGCAGGCCAGATGTTTCCCTGCAGGTCTTTTACGTGGACAGTCCTGAGGCTGGCAGAAGTGTATGTTTGAGATGATTGGATTGTTTTTATTTAGCGTTTAAGTCTTTGTGGTACCTTATCTTCAGGCTTTCCTGCCCCATGAGAGTCGTTTCATTGCTTTTTTTGCTCTCTGAGAGGGGACTAAAAGTGGGAGCCAGAACCTGTCATTTAAAGATGAAGAGGTTTGCTTCTAACCAAGGAAAGTCTTTAAGAAGGAGAAAAGAACTTTCAAAAGAGAAGTACGCAAGCTGGTAAGGTACAAATGGACAGCAGCCCAGCTGTTCAAAGTAACTGCTCAAAAGCAGGAATCCCATCATGTCAGCTAGAAGAGGGAGTCTTTTCCACCCCAGAGGCTGTGCAGAAGAGACAGTAAAGCACTTGTCATTAGTACCAGCCTTTGGTTTGAATGTCCCGGGTGGTTCACTGCTGGAGCCTAGAAACCCCATAAAGGACTTGGCACAAGTGTGGGTTTGTGCCAGAAATCATTTCATCCAAGCCCCTTATGCCTCCATTCATAAAGCACGTGTTCACGTGAGCTGTGCCAGCGATGCTGGTAAATCTGTTCGTTTACAGCTGCTTGAATTGGGCTTTTCATTATCCACAGGACTTCAGTTAAGAGAAAATAAACATTTAAAAATGATCATGAAATTAATGGAAGGGGGTGTTGTGCTTGTGGGACGAAGAGAGTATCCATTGTGGTCAGTGTAAGCAGTGGGGTGTTTTTCCTGGGTGCTGGAACAGTGGGGGGGGTAATATTTTTTGTTATTGCATAGGTTTATGTGGAGGAAAGAACGTAGATGCTCTGATAAAATGACAGTGTCCCTTTACTCAACATTACTCAGTGTTGCTTTATGAAAAATCAGAGAGATGTATTGCACGAGGGAGTGTACCGCATTACAAAAAAGCAGAGCTACAAAAGCCTGACTTTGCTCCCCTTTTAAAATTAAAGTTGCACTACAGTTTTAATTATGCTCAATCACTGCGATTGTAACTTGTTCAGAAGCATCTTTTGGTCTTAACTGCCAAAGAACTGCAAACCCTGTTCACATCAAACTTCATGCTCCAGATGGGGGCAAAAAGAGATTATGTATGCCAGCGTCTGTACGGTTACAGAGATGTAGACGGTTGTGTACTGGAATGTTTCTTGATGCTTATTTTTTTCCCCTTTTTTAACCTCAGGAATTAAAAAAAATGAAATTTATGTCATTGAGAATGTGTGTCCCTTTTCTGCCTTGTAGAGATAGCTTTGTCTGGAAGGTAAATCAGGTGATTGATCTACTTCTAAGCAGGAAAAAAATTTTACAAGGAAAGCAGAAGATAGTTTGTCATGCTGGTGGACAAAGGGCACGTCTGTACAGTACAACAGAAATACCTCCATCCACCTTCACTTCCTCTCGGAAGTAGAAAAGCTCCTCTGAGCTGCTGGGGCCATCTGAATGCGGTCAGGAGGACAGCGGCCCTGTCACCACCAGTCATTGCTGCTTTTATCGGTTATTTCTGTTTCTTCGTGGGAGTTTCCTTGTGGGGGGGAGGCCACGATATTTCCTGTCCCTGTGCCACAGCAGCAGCAGCCCCCCCTCCACACTCAGGGCCTCATGCAAAGCCCGGCCCCTGGTACAAGGGACCCGGGACACACAAGTTTCCATGTTCAGCCATCCTGGACACCATCTCCTCTCTTCTTTGGTGCTGGGGACAAGGCTCTCCCAGCCCCAGTGCTGCCTTACATCGGGTCTTAAGCCCCCTGTTTCTTGTCCTGTGCCTCGAATATTGGCCCTGGCACACCCAGGATGATATTCTGCCCCGGGGACCGCGTGAAGCTGCCAGCAGACAGTGGTATCATCTTTGTTAGCCCTTGAGATGCCACAGGGATGCTCTGAAGTCCAAATATAAGTTTTCAAAGCACATATGGGCCAGGAGGCTTGGGAAAAAACAGCGGCACTTGGGGGTGTTGGGACGGCGGTGCCTGGTCAGGTACGTCATGCACAATTGATCCAGATCGTAGCTGGAAGTGGTGGGTTTGCACATCCTGAACTTGGATTGATGGTTCTGGTTTTGTGCTATTTCATCTCCCGTGACTCCAGTGATCCTTGCAGCACCCATCGCCATTCTCTCGCACCATTCCATCGTTTTTTCTGCTCTCTGGAGAAGGCACTTCGATAAAGCACATCTCAATGCAAGCATCAGTTGGGCGTGTTTGCCTGCAGAGAGTGAAAGTCTCTCACCGGCTCTCCCAGCTTCCTCCCTGGGTACCACAAGCCAGCTGTCACCACGCTACGTGACTGCTGGCACCGCGGTCGCGATCTGAGCCCTTCGCCGTAACGAACCGACACCCCAAAGCTCCTGCCACGGCCACCCCCGTGACAGCATGGCTCCCAGCCTCTGCATGGTGTGGGGTGGGTGAGATCTGGGGTCCTGGCACGCTGCTGGCTCCCAGGAGAGGAGACGAAGGGTCTCGGGGCAACGATGCAATGCTTGGGGCAGGGACGAGCTGAGCCGCTGCAAAGGGACAGTGGAGGATCCCAAAACTGGGAACATCTGGGGAAACATGGCCTTAAGAAGAGGGAAGGGGAGCTGTTTAGGATCTCAGGGATTCCAACGACTGCTTGGTGACTGTCCTGCTGGAGCTATGGTTGAGGCAGGGAGACAATACCCCCATCTGCGGGGAAATCTGCCCTCCAGGAACACAGCATCAGCTGAAGGATGGGGATACCCTAGGAAGGGATTTTGGTGGGATGAATCCAGCTTAAAACCTCAGGGAAGAGGGACAGAGAAGCCCTGGGACCACCAGCAGCCCCGGTGGGACAGACCTCAGGAGGGAAAACCCGAAGCATCGGGGAGCAGCCTGACTCAGAGCGCAACGTGCGTGACCCAGGGACGACCCCGCCACCCCGAACTGCTGAAAGTTCATTGCCGTTTCACCACCCTCCACGGTTTCGTTTACCAACCAAGCATGAAAATTCCCCACCGCATTTCGCAGAGCAGAGAAGCGTTGTACCTTTGTTTGAGAAGGCCCCGAGATTCAAGTTCCCGGGACCGGCAGGATGCTGTGCAGGGACGAGGAGCTCGACGCCATGGGGCAGGACGGCGCATCAGCAGCAGCCAAGGTTTGCACGCTTGCACACTTGTTTGTTTGCTTGTTTGCATGACTCGAGGGCTCTTTTGGGAAGGAGAGGACCCCTGGGTGGGAGCATCCTCACCCCCATCGCTGGGAAGGGGCAGCGGGGCTCAGCTGCCCCATGTGCTCCCTCCTCCCACACCCTCTGAAACCTTCCCCCCCCTCCCAAAACTGCACCCCACCCATCGCCCTGGGGCCGAAACCTGCTCCGGTGCTGTGGGGTCTCCAGCTGCAGTTTCCGCACCCTAGGGCTTCGACACGTGTGCTAAACCCCGTTAGCAAGGATTTTCTCTGGCTTTTTTTGGGAGGAGTAAATCCTGCTGTTGGAAACAGGCTCTGTACACGGATCCAGTCCCGCGAAGGATGTGTTGGGCAAGGAACAACCCGTTCATCCCCTGGCTGTTTGTGGCAGTGCCTTTATTTAGCAGAATTTCAGCTTCCGTTCGCATTGAGCTTGACACAAGGCACAAAAAACCCCCAAAGCCTTCTTATACATAGAGTAAAAAATCTATATGCCTTCAACTATTTTTTTTCCTGTAAGGACAAGGTAAAAAAATTTAAAATCCTAGTAAACATATCTGAAACTAGAAGCCCACCTGCTCAGATATACCCTGTTAGCTAAAAAAGCAGCGCCAAGCCTTGCAGAAAGCTCACGTTTATCGACATGCTTTAACAATTAATGCACAATGAAAACACTTTGTTCCCGCAAGAAATAATAATTTCCAGGCGGCAAAGCAGGTTAAATGTGATTATTTAAAAGAAAGCCTCCTGCAATGGGGCCGGTGCCGGCACGAGAGCCCTGCAGAAATCTCAGGGTGTGTTACAGCACATTGCTTTTGGGAACGGCTGCCTCCACCGACCTGAAGTCTCAATCCAAATTTCATTAACGTTACGTTTGACGCTTAATTACTCTCTGTCTTACTGGCTCCAGGCTAAATATATTTTCTCACTGTTAGCAGAGATACTGGCGCATAACCGGCGACCTGTTGAACCATGGGTTTGGTTTTCACATTCGGGTTCACTACAGCTTTGCACCGGATGGCAAATATCTCTGGGACAGAGAACTCCGCGTCTTGGATGCCCTTGAATTTTTATTGTGATTTGTTTCAAGTATCAAAGCAGGAGCTGTAGCAAATAGATTGCACCCAATTTCACTTTGCATCACAAAGCTAAAATATAGGAGAAAGACAGATCTCATTCTGCAAGGACCACTTTATAAACACGAACTCTTGGCTTTCCTTTGCAACACAAACCACCTGTGCAGCAGAACAGCCTTGTGTCTGCACTGGCACGGACAGCGGCGTTTGCCTGCTGCACTGAACCTGTGCAGGAGCCAAAGGCTGGTCTGTACAGCAGGAGGGACCTGGGGTTGGTGTCAGCAGGGACCTCAGCTGGACGGCAAACAGAGGCTGCCCCATCCTGCTGCTCCCCATGGACAGGACGGGATGTTCCTCCTGCTCCATCGGCCTCTGTTGCTGAGGTAGCCGAGCTTGTCCCCTCCCTGCAAGGCTTGTTATTTTGGGTTGCAGTCTGAGCTGCAGATGGGCTGGATATTTAGAGCTTTTATCCTTTATCAGTTCTGCTAACAACAAGCATGGCTCCGTTTCGCTGCCCTGTGCTGAAGATTTCCCTTCCGTTCAGCCAGGGAGCCCAGGCTGGGACCCGTATGGCCAGCACAGGGCAACGAGGAGCCCTCAGCCCTCCCCATCCTCCCAGACAGTCTTTGGGGTAGGCAGATGGTTCCCAAAGAGTTCGGCGCCCGGCCAGAGGGGAGAGAGGGGAGATGGACTTACAGGAGGACTTGGCAGGGCGGGGATGCCATGGAGGAGGTGAGGTGGGTGCTGAGGGTCAGGGAGCTGCGCACCCGCCGCCCGCCCAGCATGGCGAAGGACCAGTTGGAGCTGTGGTCCTGGCTGTCACCGGCAGAGGAGCACTGCTCCGGACCCCGGCCCGGCCACCAGCTGCCGCTCGGCACCATCCTGCGCAGCGCCATCCGGAACCGCTCCCCAGCGAAGACGTAGAGGAAGGGGTTGAGGCAGCTGTGGAGGAAGGCGATGCTCTGGGTGACCTGCAGCCCGATGTCCAGCCGGTCAGCGGCCTGGCAGCTGTGTGCCACCCGCGTGTAGCTGTTGATGGCTTTGACCAGCAAAACGATGTTGTAGGGGAACTGGGAGAGAAGGAAGGCAGTGATGATGGTGGTGATGATCTTCAGGGACTTCTGCTTTTGGGATCTTTTGGCTTGCAGGAGGGTGTTGATGATCAGGGCATAACAAATCACCATGACGAGGAGCGGGAGGAAGAAGCCGATGGTGACTTTCAAGGCTAGGACGGTGACTCTGAAGACGCCGCTGACGTTCGGCGGGTAGGTGATTTTGCAAACGGTTACGTCACCCACCCGCATGCTCTGGCTGTACATGATCTCGGGGATGCACAGGCTCACAGCCATCAGCCAGACGGCCCAGCACATGAGCTTGCTGCGCAGGAGCCGCCGTGGCTTGGAAGTTTTCGCTTTCGTCGCCTGGACGATGCTGATGTACCTGTCGAAGCTGATGCAGGTGAGGAACAAGCTGCAGCTGTAGAAGTTGATCTTATACATGCTGTTGACGACTTTGCACATGAAGTTTTTGAAGATCCAACCGTCTGAAGCGGCCTTGGCCCAGAACGGGAGGGTGAGGAGGAGGAGCAGGTCGGCAATGGCTAGGTGCAGTAGGTACCGGTCCGTCATGCTCCTCCGGAAGCGGTACTTGCAATAGACCAGCACCACCAGGGCATTCCCCACCGTGCCAGCCAAGAAGATGAGCCAGAAGAACACGGGGAGGAAGGCTCGGGCGAACTGCCTGACCTGCTGCTTGTCACACTGGAGATCCGTGTCATTCACAGGATTTCTGTACAGAGACAGCACGGCACTGTCGTTCCCATAGGGATCCGGGCTGGTCATGCTGGGGTGGGGGACCTGCAATGGGGCATCAGGTAAATTTCTGTTGAGAGGTGGCTCAGGAAAGCATCAATTTGCTTTATGTTCCGTGTTAGATGGGTGACACACAGCAGATTTCGGACTGCTTGAAGTGTGTCCACACCCAAAAGAAGTGCATGGCGCAGCAAAGAGTTATACAAACGACCCGTTGAGGGACAAACCCTTTACCAAAGAGCAGCTCGCAGCCTCCAGCCAACGTCGGTTATTGA